CCAAACTATCCTGTGTCTCTGTATTTCTTATCGTCTCTTTCTTTCTACCTAGTATTTCCTCATTCCTCTCTCCTCCACCCAAGAACCCTTCAAAAGGTGGGAGCAGTTTGGAGCTGGACTCCAGCAGATTCCCACAAAATATTAGTAATATATATTTAAAAAAAACCCATCAAAACAAAACAGTCAATAAAGTCAAATGTTGGTATTTCTTTCCATTTAGAAAACCAAAACCAAAAAGGACTAGCAATTGATAACTCCTTTGCAGAAGTGACAGAAGAGAAGGAATGTCACACATAACTGATACTCAGAATGACAGATAGAGGCCATAACATCAGACACAGCTGTGTCTGTGGCCCCAAAGCCTTTCCAGATGCTACAAACATTAAGCCCACTGTGTAGGTGGGCCTCCACCAGCCAGCTGAAGTCTTTAGGGAAAAAGACAGTTTCTTGGGAGAGCCATAATTTGGCCTGCAGACAGTCTTCAAAGACACTATAAGGACAGCAGGAAAATTTTGGCCTACTAAGCTGTTATATGATATTGTGTTAAATGTATGATACAAAATGCAGCAGTGTTTCATGTATCAAACAAGTTAAATTCATAATTTCAACCTTAGGCAAAGAAAACTCTAGGTGGCTGTCAACACGAGAGGAAAGCACAATGCAATGTTTTACGAAATCTTCCAGAAGTAGAAAAAAAGGAAAATAAATTCTGAAGTATTTTATTTAGATTTTATAACTTCAGGTTGGCAAGAAAGCAAATTTAGCAACATAAATGCAGAAATTATTTAGGTTAGCAGAAAACAGTGAAAGGATATAGGTAGTAGCTAAGATACTCCAGGAATGCAAAGTTAACTTATGATTCAAAAATAATTCATGCTAGGCATGGTGGCGCACGCCTTTAATCCCAGCACTCGGGAGGCAGAGGCAGGCAGATCTCTGTGAGTTCGAGGCCAGCCTGGTCTATAGGGCGAGATCCAGGACAGCCTCCAAAGCTACACAGAAAAACCCTGTCTCAAAAAACCAAAAAAAAAAAAAAAAAGTAATTAACATAATTTAGTACAGTATCAGATTAGGGAAGAAAAAAGGTTTTAATTATTTCAAGCAGAAAACAAATTTGTTTAGTTTCTCTACTCGGTTGTGAATGAAGTTCTTAATAAACTATGAAAATTCATCTTACCACAGCAACAAGCACCCTCAGAAATACATGGAAAACACTGCACTGGAAAAGCCTGTACCATTGTGCCCTGCCTTAAAGGTTTCCTTTAAATCCAGCAACATGACTACAGAAATAAACAACAGAAATATTGGCTGAATTAGTAATATTGACTTCAATTTTATTGTTACAAAGTTAAGAACTAGGTCAAGGTAAGATATGGCATTAGAAGTTTGGATAATATTGAGAGGTAGAAGGAGAAGGAAAGAGTGAGTGAAAAGGAGAGTTGTGGGGGTGCTGGTGCATTTTAGTGTTTGACCAAGGTGTGATTACAAGGTGTGGTCACTTGTGATAATTAACCAAGCCATATACTTGGGACCGGTGTGCTTTCTGTCTGTGTGCTATACTTTAATACAGTGCAAAAAAGAAATTTCAAAAGAAAGAAATAAATGAGAGTAAGTTCTTGTGGCCCTTCCCAGGTGTATACCTTGGCCTCGTTTTCCTCATTAACTCTCCTAGGTATTATCCATAAATAAAGTGTGGAGGGCGGGATAAAATACCACCTAGGAATTTTGACTTCTGGGGCTTTGCACTTGACCATGAGGGCCATTATCTCTTGACCTTTGTCCTGTTACAGTCATAGTCATACTAACTAGCAATTAAATACTCAGCAACTGTGAGCCTGTCAAGTGCAAACTGTGCACTGCCTTAATTTGTTATGAGCGGACCTGAGAGGGGAAAATTGGCTCATGATTTCTGCTACCATGGCCCACTAAATTCTACTGCAGTTTGGAGGGAAGTACATACAAAGTTTGAAATGAGCTGGGTTCTGTATGAAGGATATGTCTCCTATCGACTGTTCAATTAGCCCCCTAATTTCTTGCATCAGGCCTTCAGACAAGCTGTTGAGGAAGGAAGAAAACAGGAGGCAGTGGTCAAGTTCTGAACTTGAAGCTGGCCTCTGGGGTGTGGGTGGGGCATGGGGAGAGCTGTGCAGCTGGAGTTGAAGGGAGGCAGCACTCCAACGGAATGGTGTACTCGCCATTGCTATGGTGACTTGCTAACAGTTGACAGGCTGCCAAGAGGCCAGCCTGAGATACAGAGTCCAAGGAGTTGCCACTCAAGTTGCTTGAGTTAGGCAAAGACAGGCCAGGAGAACAAGAGACTTGGCGTCCATTCTGGCTTTTCTCACCTTCATGGTTTTTTCTTGACACTGAATCTATTACATAAAATGAGGTTGGGAATAAAATACTCCCTTTCTTGAAGGCATTGTGTGGCTCTAAATTACCTACACAGGAGGGTTGAACATTCTAGCTGGGGCCTCACATGCTGCTGATTACCAGTTCTGTGATCATGTTCAAGGCACCTCACCATTGTGTCATTTTTTTTAATTGAAATAGAGACATTCCTATTGACCCATAGGGCACTGGTTCCAGGACCCCCTTGAGCATCATAATCCATGGACACTCAGGTATTTCTGTAAAATACAGCAATATAAGCATATAGCCTATGCAGATTCTTCTGTATACCTTCAACTACCTCTAAATTATGTACAACATCTAATGAAGCTGATAAGGTAAATAGTTTATACATTCTACTTAGTGGAATAATGATCAGAAAGAAAATAATCTGTTCTGTACAGATCTCAAGTCCTCAAACCATTTTCAATCCACAGTTGGTTGAATTTAGCTTTGTGGAACTCAAGGTTAAAGAAGGCTGACTGTAGTCAGTGTTTTATCTTCTATGGCTGTTGAGAGGATTAAATGAATTAATAGGTGTAAAGGCTTAGTGCTGTACTCAGCAAATATTATAAACTAAAGCCAAACCTTTGTAGCTGCAAAGTTTCTCTGGTCCCACCTGGCCCTGCAGTCCCGTAGCTGCTTATAAAATAATCATTCAGAGGCTTATATTAATTACCAACTGTATGGCCTATGGCAGGCTTCTTGCTAGCTAGCTCTTTCATCTCAAATTAACCCATTTCTATTTATCTATGTAGCTCCACATGTTCCATGGCTTTACCTGTGTCCCATTACATGTTGCTCCTTGGATGGCAGTTTGGTGTCTCCCCCCATTCTCCTTTCTCCTCTCATTATCTTTCTCGGATTTTCCTGCCTGGCTGTAAGCTTTCTTACTATAGGCCAAAACAGCTTTATGTACTAACCAATGGGAACAGCATATATTCACAGCATACAGAAAGACACCCCACAGCAAACCTTTCACAAGGGCCTCTTCAGGTCTCAAATTATATTGTGGTCTCATCTCTTACCTCTCCACTACCCACCACCACTGCTCCCACCCAGCTGACCTAGGCTAACACCACCTTGTGCTTTCTGTCTCCCTGAGAATTCATGTCCTCATCTGCTAGCCAGTGACTTCTCCAATTCTCTACCAAATGGAGGTGATACCATCTGGTTTAGTTAGGGTTTCTAGTGTTGTGGCAAAACTCCATAATCAAAAGCAACTTGGGGAGGAAAGGGTTTATTTCACCATATAGCTTCCCTGAGGGAGTCAGGACAGTGACTCAAGGCAGGAGCCAGGAGGCAGGAACTAACAAGGAGGCCATGGCAGAGTGCTGCTGCAGGATTGATCCCCATGGCTTCTTGAGCTTGCTTTCTTATTACAACCAAGGAGCATCTGATCAGGGATGGCACTGGCTACACACATCAATTATTAATCAAGAAAATGCCTCCTAGACTTGAACACAGGCTAATTTTTGGAGAAATTTTCTCAATTAGAGATTCCCTCTTTCCATATATGTCTAGGTTTGTGTCAACTGGATAAAACCAACCAAAACAACATCTATTGCATAGTATTGAGCTGAGGAGTAAGTGTTAAGATGTCTAGATGACAAGGGGAATGTCCAGGCAGGAACTGAAGCAAGATTGCTTCTAGTCAAGGGTGGTTGACCAGTTCTCCTTTAGCACTGCCATTGAGGAGCAATGTGAATTTGACCAAACATTTTACCTCTTGCATTTCACTTAGGAAACACAGACAGTAATACCCAGACTCCATCACATTTCAGTGAGTTTAAGCATGGGTCTATGATATAAGCAATCTCTCTTTCAATTAATGTTTAAAGTATGAGAGCTAATTATGAGTAAGCCCAGACTTTGCCATGCTCTGGGATCCTCAGCACCATAAGCTTTACAGGGTAGTAGGTTTTTTGCTTTTGCTATTTTTGAGATAGGATCTAACTATATACTCTAGTCTGACCTCCAACTGGCTGTAACAGGAGGATCTCAAGTTGAAGATCAGACTAGACTATATCTGAAACAGATTTGATATGGAAATGAACCTGGAATTTGTAGGGCTGAGGCTATAGCAGAAGATGGCAAATGATACTTTGGGAGTATTATAACATGGCCTCTAACTTGCATAGTTTGGGAATATTTCTTTTCATCATGAAAATGAGTACAGGCAATGAAGGGCTTTTAAAATAATTACTCTTCTTTCTCCTTCTCTTCCTTTTTCCTTTTCTCTTCTTTCCCTTTTCCTCCTCTTTTTGCTCCTTTTCATTCTCTCTACTCTTTCTCCTTTCTTGTCCATCTTTTCTCTTTTTCTTCCCAGTACACTAGAATATTAATATAGCATTGTCTCCCTGATGCTGAGCCTTGGAACAAAGGAACCAACTGAGCTATCTTTACTGAGAAATAGTCTAGTTTAAAAATAAAACTTGGTTTTGTTGAAGTCTTCCTCATGGAGCCCATGACATTCTTTACCTATTTATGAACACAACTCCATACAGTTTGTGTCTTTGTTCAGAGGGATTTGCCATTCACCATCTATCTTTTTAGGAATAGAAACCTATGGATCATCTCTAAGCTTTCACAGTCTCTCACAAACTTACCTGGAAAATATTGGCAAAATCTCTGAGATTGAAGATGTAGTGAAATTTGATTGCTGTGGGCAGGAACGTGGTGGTGATTTTCTGGTGGAAGGTGATAGCCAGGTTGATCAGAGGAGGGATGGATTTCTGCAGGGTGCTGGGGAAGTTTCCAAGCTTCAGGTGGTGGGTCAGGATGGTGCTATAAATGGAGGAGAGGGCATCAGCCCCCGGGAAGGAGAGGACAAACACACTGAAGTGACGCTGCAGAAGAAGACAAGGGACATGGGACAGGAGTAAGTTGGATATCATTTATCACCCTGTGAAGATCACCATTCTGGACTGGGGACAGTAGTCAAAGATTCTGTAGCCAAATTTAGGTTGAACCCAAAATGACTGGGAGAACAATGGCATCGAAGCTTTGGTCAAAGATACTACATGGGCTAGTGGGAAAAGAATCTGAGTCCAAATCTCAGTTGACACCATGAGTCTGTGTCTGTACACCCTTGAAAAGTAAGTCCATGTATCAGAAGACTTATATTGAGAATGAGGGAGTTGAGTCATATGAACTCTGGGAACTCCTCTAGTTCTCAATCCTGTGACACCGAGTCTAGGGGCTCTTATTCTAGAAATGTAAGTTGGTTTGCCACTTTGGTAGCCTGGGCAGAGGAAAGGCCAGATACTACTAATAATCAAAGGCCATCACACCTGATAGATAGCTTTAGGACTTAGAAGTATTACCCATGCTTGATTCCTTTCATACCTGAAGCCTTGGGTTGATGGTAAAGCTGCCTGCAGTGGGGTTCATACAGGAGATGTACTGTACGTTTATGATCTCCTTTAGGGACAGCTTGTTCCGATCATACCTGAAATAGATACCTCCAGTGAGCCACTATTGTTGGTATATATCTATAACCCAGGCATTCAGGAGGCAGGAAGATGTGAGTATGAGGGCAGGCTGGGCCACTTAGTGGCATTCTCTCTCTAAACAAAACAAACAAACAAATTTATAGTGAGAGTTATGTGTGAGGGCTGAGGTAAGTAGCACTTCCTCAAGGTGAAGTAGGACAAGTTCTATGATTCATATGCTTGGGTTATGTCTTACATACTTTTCTATTGCTGTGATAAGACACCATGACCAAGGAAACTTATAAAAGACAGTGTTTAACTTAGCTTATGGTTTCAGAGGGTAAGAGTCCATGATAACGGAGAGAAGGAACAGCTAAGTTCACATCTTGATCCACAAATTCAGGCAGGAAGAGCATGGGGAATCACATGTATGTTTTGGAACTGCAAAGTCTGCTCCCCCTATGACATACCTCCTCCAACAAAGCCACACCTCCTAATCCTTCCCCTAGTCTCACCAACTGGGGACCAAACATATGAGTCTATGGGGGTCATTCTCACTCAAGCCACCATAGGTATTTAAAAAAGTAGAGACCTAGATTTACTGACAGACTAAGAAGAAACACTAGCCTAAAAATTTTACAAGAAATCCAATGTCTATGGAAAAAGCCCAGGAGGAGAGCACAGAAGAGGACTGAAGGGCAAGAAGAAGATCGGGGGATGTGGCTGCCCAGAAAGCAATGGAAACCAGCACTCCTCCATTAGCAACGTAGAGAGAAGAAAGACCTCTCCCCAACAAGATCCCATGGATCCCACAGTAACACTAGCTAGGAGGTTTGCAGGAAATTGTGGGGTGGAAGGGCAGAAATCAAAGAGAATTACATTGAAGAGTTGGAAGCCAAGCAGGAAGCAAGAGCAGAGAGGAAAATTTAGTTATACACAGAAGAAGGAGAGAATAGCCATTGGGGAATGACTTGTAGCAAACAAAACAGAAGTTTCCATGACAGGAAGGAGCCAACAAAGGCATGGGGACTAGCTAGTGTAGACTTCAGGATCAAGAGACCATGGAACCAATCCACTAGAGTTACGCTTTAGGCAAGAGGGCACGGGGGAGGGGGGTCCAAGACACAGAGTGTGGAAGGCAGTGAGCAAGTACAGAAGCAAGGGTGGACTTGGCACCAATTTTCTCAGAAACCCCAAGGCATCAGCTTTGGTACATCGGGAACTCGAGGAGAGAGAAGAGGATATGACGTAGGTATTTAGTACACACCAAGAGAAGAAGCATTAGAGCAGAATTTTCATTGTTTCTACTACCCACTTAAGATGTGCGACCATGAAGCAAAGTTAAGCATCTTAGCTTTACTTTATATTTCCTATAGTGTTTAGGAAATATAATGTGGAGACTCAGGGCAAGATGCTAATGGTATTTGACAGAGATTTTAGGAAGGACTGAGACGCAACTCAAGTTGGCATCTTCACTGCGACCCTTCTCTCATTTCTCTCGTGAACCCTCCACATCATCTTGACAGAAGGACGCAAGGGAGACAGACATGTTTCAGATCACTGACCTTTTCCTGGCCAGTGTAGACTGGCTGTCATTAAAAATGAGGATGTTGTGAGAGAAACTATGAGACTCTGCATTGCTCTGGAAGATGTCACGCCCAAGCAGGTCGGCTGGGAGTGTGTCTGCTATCATCAGACCTCTGAAGGAGGCCACAGTGGGGAGTTCGGCTCTGTGGCTAGATGAAGTCCCAGAGAATGCAATTTTGAAATAATGTTTTCTTTTTTAAATTGTATATCATAGTCTTATATTTGAAAAAAACAATGCTGCATATAGTACAGTTGGGTATGTTTCTATATGTCTGCATAGCACATAGTCAATAAAATCCAAAATTTCCTCTCCATCCTCTGTCCACTCCTCCAGTATACTCATCCTTCCTAGTCTCCAGAGGTCATGGCAATGAGTCCTGTAGAAAACTGTGGCTTCCTTCTTGGGTGAGAGCTTAGTACCCTTTGACTCAGAATCCCTGCCTGAGGGAGCACTCCAAAAAGCACAGAAGTCCCCAAGGAGTGGGGTTTACCCTGGGCTCCTCTTGTGGCATTAGAGCCCAATGAAGTTTGCCACTGCAGCCCCTAGTGAGCTGAGTGACCCAAAACCCTTCTGTGGGGACACTTACCAGTGGCCATAGTCTAGGTGCTGCCTGATGATAGTGTGGGGTTGTACTGTTCCATAGGCATCCACCTCGGGCATGTTCATATCATCGATGAAATATATGAGCTTCCTGTTGCCTGGAGGGCCATAATTCCTGCCCGCCTTCTTTTCTAGAGGTTTCTCCAGAACAGCTGAGGAGAGACCAGTTAGTTAGGGAGGGAAATTCGAACCTTAGAAGTCAACACTGAGGCAGTACAATTATCCAGGACAAGCTGAGGCGCACTCACATGAAGGTACAAAGGGCAATGATCATTCTGTTAGATCAGTCATTCTACTGGACCAGAATAGGAACCTGGAGTGACCAGGCAACAATTGTGGCACTACCCACCAGGCACGAAGCATCTTACAGTATGTTTTGTTAGGTTGTATTTACTACCTCATCTAATTCTTACAACATGGGATGAAAAAATGAATCCGATTCCATTTCAGAGCTACGGGTGCCAAGGCACAGAAGCACTAAACTGCATTGCTGAGGGAGAGCCAGTCTGCAAAATAGAACAGCTAAGTCCCAAAGCCCATGCACTTGCCTTTCTTGTGGTTCCCAGTTTTTGTTGTTCGTAGGTTAGAAACTGAAGATACATTCACAGTCACCCGGCCAGGTCTCCTCTATCCCTAAGGAACTCTACATAGAATTGGACCCTGGTAGACTGCTCCACTGCACCAAGACACAAAGGGGACTAACAGCTGTGGCTCTGGGGCTCAGCTGGAGGCCCCCCTTGACCCTGAAAGCTGTAGGAAGAGTCACTGGGATATTTTGCCAATATTGTTTGTAGAGTCTTCACCTCCTGAGGTTCAGGAGTGGAAAAACAGCCTCAGAGAATGTCTGAGAGGCATCCATCAGCACCCTGGCCTGCCTTCAGTCCTCTGGCTCCCTATCAGCGAAGAGCAGCGTGAGAACTCAGTACAGACACTCTCTCCTGGACTCGTCTTTCCCATTATCAAGCCAGAGGGAAGGAAGCAGACACACCGATTCCAGCTTGATGGGGCTTGTTCAGAAGAAACTTAAGTAATAGGGCGGAGAGTTAGGATTTACTTTTTTTTCTGGTAAAGCAATTAAATATTTATGGATTGCAAGAACCAACACTTTCGTATTACGGCTGGGAGCCCTAAGAGCCATCTGATTTCTTCTCCTGAAAAACAAGTTTGTAAACAAGGAGAAAGTGTCAACATACAGGGAAGGTGACAGATAGAAAGACAAGTTCCCTCAAGACGCTTGAATATTCTAATTTCCTGGGCCCCAGTTAAATTAAGTGTTTCAAATATGAATTAAATTTAAATTTAATTAGCATGCAATTAACATACACTATCAACCAATTAATCACCCAACACCTTCTCCCCCCTTAAAGATATAACAACTATATATGAGATCTGTCAAAAATGAAATATAATTAGTGGGCTGCCAAGGACACGCTTTGAGACCAGTCCTGCTAATAGGAAGCTTCTCCTTAGGAATACTTGTTTCTCCACCTCCCAAGGCAATAGCATTCAAATCAAACCCTTGACTTAAGCAGACCCTGCAATTTGGGTTGATTAAGCTCTTTAGGCAGCTATAGGATGGTAGAGGAGAAAAGCACCCCAGTTACCAAGAAGTGGCCTTGGAGAGTGCTGGATTGTTTCAAATGGAATACGCAAAGTTCTCCAGGGAAAGAAAGGAAGAGAGAGGCGAGGCATGATCTTGCGGACCTCTCTCTGCTTCCGTTCACATCTAAGAGGGAATGACACTGAATGGTGGTTCAGTGTCCTGGTGGGGCTGGAGGAGTGGGCATGGCTTAAGTTTGAGGGATTGTGTTGATAGTGATGTTGATATTGATATTGATAAGACAAACAGGAGTGATGAGGAGAGCAGCCTGTGCTGAGCATTTCTGGTTGAGTTCTGACCTTGTCACACATACGTCTGAGTCAAGACTACCCCATTTGTGAATTTTTTAATTGAACTTCTTGAGACCTGTGAAGAATGCACAGTTCAGTTTGTGGCTTCAGGGAGCAGTGCTGTCCGTTTATTGATATCTGTGTTTTTATTAATGCCAATCCCCAGTATCTCGGGACTGCCGTCTTCCATGTGAAGACCATTTCAGCACTGCTGTGGCTGCCATCTTGTGCTCCGGCTCTCACATGGCAATGGTATCACCACCCTAGTTGGTCACCTTGACTTCCTGTTCCACTCTTTTTCATTATGCTCTCAAGACAACAGATGGGGAGCCCTTGGGAAGAGTGAGCCAGATGATGTCAGCACTCTGTCTGCTTAAGCTCTCCATGGCATCTCACTTCAGTCTGGACAACCTCTTCACTCTCTGCTCCAGCCACCTGCTTCTGATGCAAACGTCGTTTGTTGCCCCAGAGAATTTGCTCTGGCTCTTTCCTATGCCTGGTATCCTCTTCTTCTGAATGCCAACATGACTTGTTTCCTCGTTTATTTACTCAAATATGACCATCACCCAGGAAGGTCTTCCTAGTACTCTACCTAAATCTGAGCGCCGCCCCCCCACATATTTGCCCTACCTCTATTTAATTTTTTCTTTACAACACTCATCACTATTTAATGTGTTTTGTTGTTTATTATTTATTTGTTTGTTATCTCACCCACTCATTCCATATGAGAATCTAAACTCCTGAGCACAGGGACTCTTTTGTTTCTCTAGCACATCCTTTAGCACATAAAAGAATGCTTAGGAATTGCTTATTCAGCTGAGGAATGAGTGAAAATATTACAGCAAGCCCCGAGAGACAGCGAAAGAAAGTCTTTTCTCCATACTGGAATTAAAGACACAAGAGTTAAGCAAGGAAGGTTGAGCGCCTTGTTGAAATTGGGATCTAGATCTTCAGGCGCTGATTCCAGTGATTCTTCCCCCACCCCTGCCACACACACACACACACACACACACACACACACACACACACACTGGACATAGAAGTGACTTTTCTGGGTACTATAACAAAATACCTAATGAAAGCAGCTTAGGTGTGAGGGTACAGTCCATCATGGCAATTGAGGCAGGAAGCAGCTGGTCCACTGCATCCATCTTCAGGAATCAGAAAGAGATGAGTTTACCTTATCCTTCTCATTCAGGCCAAGACCCAAGTCCTTGGAATCGTTCCTTTTACGTTTAGGGTGGGTTGTCCCACCTCAGTTAATTCCATCTAGAAAACCCCTTACAGATCTGTCTAGAGGTTTGTGTCTTTTGTGATTCTGTATTTTGTCAATTTGACAATAAACATTAAGTATCACACTGGGTGCGTAATCCCACGTGCCTTCATCCTCAGCATCTCTGGGCTGTTCCTGACCATTCTGGTCCTCCAGTATCAAAATTCAAGAGCAGTACATTCATGCGTCCATATTGTATGCCAGGGACCTGCTGTGGTGAGCAGTTGACCTGCACTGTGTTACAAGCTCCCCTAAAAGCCTCCTGATAAACTGTCTTTACCTCTCAAAAGTCTTTTAAAGGAGAAGACTGAGCTTTAGATAAATCAAGGGGTTTTCTCCAAGATCAAATGACTATGAAGAGTCAAAGCCAGGGCTTTACCTCAAGTCTGCCTGATTGCAGACTCTCAGCGAACGACAGCTGCCAACCACATCTGTACAGGGCCTCCAATCTGCTTTCTGCCTTTAGAAACTCTCAGCTCATTGCCTGCTCCATATTTTTTTTGTCGATAGCATCAATAATTAATTAATCATGACTTCCCTTGCAATCACATGATTTGTGTACTTGTGTTTGAACTATTTTCCTTTCAGATTATTTAAGTTTTTCATATGTTAAGACTTTTTGGTTGTATCTGTAAGGCCTTTTGATGTATTCTTTGAAGAAATAGCTTGTTTTGCATGACTATAAAAATCATACATATTCATTCTGGAATAGATTAGAATGTACAAAAATTCGCAGTGATGAAAGTGACAATCGGCCAAAATTTTTATCACCAAGCAGTTAGCAGTTCTTTCAATATTCTTGTGTCCTGTACGTTATTCAAGACACCTTTTTCTATTAGGTTTTTAAAATCTCTACAAACCATAATTGTTGTAAACATATAGCTTATATATATTTTAGTTTTTATTTAATATATTATGTAACTCTTATTTTGATTTTTTTTTTTTTTTTTGGCAACAGAGTCTCACTATAAAGCACAGGCTTGCCTTAAACTAATGAGCCTCCTGCCTCAGCCTCTGGAGGGCTGGGATTGCAGATGTGAGTCATCATGCCTGGCTCTGTGGCAGATTTCTCTATCTGGTAATAAAGATCCTTTTGAAACATGATTTTAATGGCTGTGCTACGTTTCATAATTCATGGAATGACTTCTCCATTGTCTGAAGGTAGTGCTCTCGGTTTCGTTTTGTTCTGAATCACCTACAATTCCAAGCAGAATTCTTGCTCATTAGATGATGGATTGTGGATGACCTAGCATTAGTTTGTGTCATTTCCTTTTTGGAAGACACTGAGCGAAGGCTAGCAAAGGCGAGCAACGCACCTACAGCGGTGTAAGCACGGCATTCCTTTGAGGTAGGGATTTGAGTAAATCTTTGAAGATACCCAATAACCTTAAGTTTTAATGAGCAGGTTACAGAGACTCATCTTACACTTTCAGACCTCTGCGCTCCTCTCTAATTAGTGTAATTACGCTCTCAAGTATTTGTTGAACTAATAATTCAAATCGCAGTTGGACGATGAGAGAATGCAGGATTACCATGAGCATGAAGTTCAGCCAGCTTCTCTCAGCAGAAACTCTGAGTCCATTGACCTCTAGCAAGTTCTTCACTCCCCCTCTTCTATCTTGGTTAGTCTATGGCTCTTTGAAAATTTTATTATTATTTAAAAAAATCTTATTCACATTTTCTAAAAGGATGAGAAGAGAGCAAAGAGAGGAGGGGCAGAAAAAAGATATACCTAAACAAAGACCCAAAGGGACCACACAACAATGTGGAAAGAGAAGCAACTTATTTGTACAAGTAATCTAAGATGACACAGCTTTCATAACCCATAAAAGCTATCTCATATTTGCCTTTATGAACTGCTTGTTAGAAAGCTCAGAGCTAAATCTATATATGATTCCAGTAACCACAATTTATCAGATTAGCAGTATAATTCCACCTCTTCTAAATGACAAATTCTGGGAGGTATAGGTCATAGTTATTCATAAAAGA